GTCAAATAATCGAGATCTCAATTTCAGTGAAAATAATCGTGATTATCATTTTTGCCATAATCGAGCAGCCCTACCTCAAGCTTCACAGCCACTTCATTACTAACACCTTGGTAGTTCAAGGTTGGGCCCCCTCTGGCCTTCAGATTGCCTAGAATTTAAGTGTTAAAGATTCAAAAACATTAGAAAAACAATCTTCAGAGATTTTTGTCCATATTGACACAATAGCATAACACATTTGTTGCAGACTTCTCATGTCCACTTCTCAGTGTAGTTTATGTTTGATGAATGAGAATGAAGAACGGCAAAGTCGGCCTTGATGAGCAGAAACGTTTCAAACTTTTGTGGCAAAATATATTAGGTTTGGATAATTCACTAGCAAATATAAAAGTGTTACATATCCATGTACCTTGGAACACAGATTGCGTACTCCGTCTGGTATCATTTTCTGCCGTCTGTGTCACACATTGTTTTGACTTTTGTGCCATAGTGTGAGAACTTGTAAAGATGATTCATATAGGCAGGTGAGTCAGACCCACATATGTCATTACTGGAAAACAGAATCAAGCAGACGGGGGAATCACAAGTGTTGTCTCGTTAACACAGTTGTGGGTAGTTTGAATGGATGCATGTGTTCACATAAATGCTGAGGCAAAGGCTCTTATCATATCATCTTATAAATGTGTAGGAGTGACAAATGGAGTGAATTTAGTTTCTGGATGTGTGGAGTCTTTGTGCTGAAAGGTGAGAAATTCCAAGACTGCTACGGTATGCGAGCACTGCGTCTCACTAACACACTTCCACGTATGCCAGGCTTTGGTCATTGCGTCTCTTTCACACCCACATTCACACAAGCATAGGAAGTGAAAGAAAAGGGGAAATTCTTGTGCTGAATTGATCCCTGGCCAGTGTACATGAACAATAGAGAGTGAGTGCAGAATTAGAGTTAGTTTACACAACAAGCTGAAATATTGTGTAAGAGAGAGTGGATATATTTGTTTAAATTATTTGTGTCACTGCAAACTTTGCAAAGACTCGAACCCAATTATATAATTGCACATAAAAGATATGATAATAGGCATCATTGTCACCTTAACTAAGCTTACAGTGTGTGTTCACTCTTGTAGCTCTGGGTGTGGTGACAGTGGCCATTTATTTTTAACCTCTGATCTCTTCGTAGATATGCTGTCCATAATGAGAAAACTGTAATGAGCAGTTCGTGGGTGATGCTGCTACAAATCATGCACTAATGCTGTGTGTGAATTCATCACCACTGCGATGCACCTGATATTTCACCCCAACTCTAAATTTAAAGTTTGGGGATTGTGTTAAGTACGTATTGGGACCATGGACTCTATTATGAAGATGCAAACAAAAAGACATAACAAATTAAGACAAACATTTTAAAGCCTCAAGATTGGCCTTCTTACCTATTTATTTATTTATTTATTTATTTATATGCATAGGAACTCTCTTTGATGATATGGGTAGTTTCTAAAATGTACTTTCATGAGAAACGGAACAGCTGACAAAGTAACCACACCCATGTTTATTCACAACTTCATTATTTCAGCTTATATGTATATATGTAGGAGGAGATCAGCTGACATTTTGAGCCAAACTAAATTAGGGTTTTGTGGAAGGATCATTTTGAGAATTTTAGCTTGAAAAAGTCCAAATTGGTGTGTAGGTGTAAAGGTCATATGTAGGACTTTGATGACACTATTGTCGTGTTTTTATAACCTTAGAATGATCCTTTTGTATCTACAGAGGGAGGGACTCCTGTTCCTCCGAGTCCACCAGGAGAGACAGAGGTGTGTGTTTAGGTTAAGGTACCACAACAGCTCATTTCTGTCCTAGCATGGTACCATGGTACAAGGGCCACCAAACAAGCTCATCACTTACTGCTTTTGAAGATTCATCCAAGCTTTGGTCTCTTGAGCTTTCGTTTCCGTTGTAATAACATACATGAAACAGACCGATGGAGTTGATGTTTTTCCTTAACAGATGTCTCTCTCATGAGACACACTGATAACAGCAATTATCCCATGCTTAAACTTACTTCTTCTTAAGCCACTTCATTAAGCACACCTTGGTGGTACAAGGTTGGATCCTTTTTGCCTTCAGAACTGTTGTAAGATATTCAACAAAAAACATTCCACAGATGTGTTGGAGCATATTGACATGATGATATTACACAGCTGTTGCAGACTTATCAGTTGCAAATGCGTGATGTGAATCTCCCATTTTGCATGTGCTCTGTTGGATTAAGATCTAGTGAATGAAGAGGCCATTTGAATTTGTGAAACGGTGCATCATCATCCTGAAATCAGTCATTAGATGATGGCTGTTCTGTGATTGTAAAGGGATGGACAACCATAGCAACAATACTCAGGGAGTCAGTGGCATTTTGGAAGTTAGAGGCCCAAATATGTACAAAGACTCTACCACTACCACTCTGACCTGCTGACCTGTTGATACAGGACAGAATGGTTTTATTAACACCAAATTCTGACCCATCAAACTATTGCAACAGTTTATCGTCTACCTTTGGTGAACATATGTGGATTGTTATTTGAGTAATTGTTGCCTTCTTATCAGTTCAAAGCAAGCTCCTCCTCTGAACAACAAGACATTTTTACACAGAGAACTGCCGCTCAGTGGATATTTTCTCTTTTTCTGACCATTCAAGGTTAACCGTAGAGATAGTTGGGTGGAAAAAGTACAGTAAATTGACACCACCAATCACGTCATGTTCAATATCCCATAAATCACTTTTTTCCTGACATAGAGGCTGAAATTATGATACAGAGCTCCACAATGAATCATGTTATTATATCATATTGTATCATGCTATTCTAGTAAAAGTTGTAATTCAGATAAATAAGTTTTCTAAAGATCCTAAAGCCTTGATAAATGAAAAGACAGTAACATATTTTAAACTACAATATCTGTTTAACTGAGGCAGAGAAATACTACTGCACTCCTTCCTGGCAGGTCACTATATTACACATTAGTTCCTTAAGCATGCACCACTTGAAGTTACACCTTAGCAACTTTTGCTTTTGTCACTTTTAAATTATCAGAGAACGAAATGCCAAAACCACACTTTGACACGGAAAATACAAAGGTTTCATTTTCACACGTCTTTGTGTTAGATAACTGAACTGAAAAGTAAACTGTGGGATATTTTGATATTGTCTTCTTGGCTTCATTTCAAGAAGATATCTTATGTCAAACCACAGTTCTGCATCACAAGAAGTGTCGCAGCTGAGAGAACTGGCTGGTGTGACGTGGCATCTTCACAGGAAAGCTAATGTTCAGTTGTCGCTCTCAAACTAAATGCTTGAGTAACAAGTGGTGAGGCTTGTGTGTTGACTGGGATGACCATAGTGAAGACATGTGACACAGATAACGATAGAACAGACTAACTCTAAAATTTAGAGCATTCTCATGTCGGTATATATAAGAAAATGCAGTTAATTCAATATGACTTTATTTACATGACAGATTATTATCTCAAGGCAATTTGTACTGTAAGCTAAAAACCCTACTGTTTTTATAGAGAGAATCCTAAGTATATGGCAATGGTGGGGGTGAAGAACTCTCTTTTGACACGAGGAGACCTCAAGCAGAACCAGGCCTTGGGAGGGGCAGCCAATTGCATTGACCAATTTGGGTGTCAAGAGAAGGAAAAGGGAGGAAAGAGGAAGATATAGAGGCAAAAAAACAACAAAGAACTGAGCATGTTAACATCACCGACTTATCAAACTCTAAAACTGAAGCCCAGCCAATAGAGCATCAGTGAAAGTGCCGCATAATGCAAAAAAGTAAGGTAGCATTTTGTGTGTTCATCAAATAAACTTCCTGTTTGTGTGTGTTTGTTTGCTTATTTGTATGTCTCTGTGCATTAATGGGTGGGTTGTGCAAGGCTTATATATTTCTCAAGTATCAAGTGTGGGTGTTATAAATAGCAAGCTGTCCTCTCAGGATATGCAGTGTGATATTTCCCTGTCTTTCTCTTGTACTTTTTTCTGTCTGTCTGCCTGCTTTGTCTGTGGTTCAACAGGTTCCTGTCTGCTTTTTTGATTATTTTCCAGACATTCTCACTGTCACGCATACCATGCAGTAAACCCACGCGACGTGGTCGCAGATCTAGTATTTGTTAGGTTTTAACTTCCACGCTATGAGCTTGTCTGGATGTGGTGATGCTTAAAGCAATGACACCAGACTAGGATGAGTTTCCGTCTTTGGTTGAAATTGAAAATGACAAAAATGCATTTGTGGTTATTTGAGACATGTCCGTCTGTTGACAGTCATGTGATTCTCTAATATGATGCAAAGTGGAATTTTTTCAAAGAAAATTCCCAGTTGTATATTTTTCTGCTTTAGACACTAACTGGTGGTGGACATGGAAACTGTCAGTATAAGCTTACTTGACTATTCAGCACTTGACCTTGGAGGAAAAGCAGCTCACTGTAGGGTTATGGAAAGACTGAATTGCTGATGCATGTGTATGTGTTCTCATTCCCGTTACGAGGGGAAGACTGTTTCCATTGATAAGAGCTTAGAAAGGTCGCTGTGTTTATTTTGAGGCTGAACTCATTTGTGTTCACTGATATATAAGGACAGATAACAAACCAGGCGTCCAAATGAGAATGGTATCACTAAGAAAATGTCATTACATTAAACTGGGAACTTTTTGTTTCGTTTTTTTTATGACTTCATGTAAAAAGAATGTAATTGATATGCTTGTTTTATTTGTTCTAACATTTTCTATATGTGGTTAAAATTGGCTGCAAATGAACACTGTGCTCTTTCATTTAACCATGCACACACACACACACACACACACACACACACACACACACACACACACACACACACACATTTGTAGCCACTGATTTTAATGGTGCTAAATGGCTGTTCTCCTTGCATAAGCATTTACGCAGTTATAAATTTGTTCCCCTTTTAAAACCGTTTCACTTTTTGTATTTCTGCAGAACAGGTGTTAGCAACCGAGCTGCAGCTGATGGATAATCTGAAGTTTGCGCTCTTCTTAATCATCCTCACCACTGGTAAGATCTTAGAGATACTTTATCTTGTTCATCATAAAGCAAACTACATTCATGTTGTGCCACTTCCTACATTATACGTTATGTTGCCCTTTTTATAGATATTCTAGAAGAGACATTAAATGAACATGACAGAATTCTCAAAAATATATTAGATTATCAGTTTTTCATAGCATTTCCTTTATAGTATTTTTCTCTATGTGACCTCTGTTTGTGAGCATTAGACAACTAGAGTGCCTCAGATAGTAAGGAAATACTTTGCTGACACAGGAGAGTTAAAGCTTCCACTACCATAAGAACTCTTCGGTCAGTATCATAAAGCAAGGCAGGACACATGGGCTCCAATAGGAATCAATGCAACGCCGAGCTCATGAACTGATCATAAGTTTAAAATTTGTAAATTGTAACTGTGACCTATTACCCAAGTGCTGGCAGACACACATTCATTTACATGTCAATTTTCTGCCCTGAACCTAAAGTCTAGCCAAAGTAGTGACATTTTAGCAAACAATGCAGGTAGATGGCAGGATTGTGTTACTGAATGCGGAGGTGTAGTATTCATTGCTTTCAGTCATGTAACCAAAGCAAAGCCCTGGAGGAGGAAAATAATATAGCGACAACATGCTAGGAAACACTCAGTACTATAGAACTGCAATACAACCCACTAAGTTTCCCAGTAGCTTCAAACCACAAATATTTAAATCACCTCAGTGAAGAGAAGTGAAAAATATTATTTGAGCACTTGTAGTCCACATTGCAAAGTCCCTGCAAGAGGTCTACTTTAGAAATGTTTAACTTCTCTCTCTTGAATAATCCCTGCCCTTAAACTACCACCAGGATGAAAGCACATACAGTAGAGTGCAGCAAGAGGGTTGTTTTTATCATCTGGACTGGTCACTAATACCATTGTGAAGTAGACGGAATTTTTCATTGTCAAAACAAGTGGGAGAACCAATTAGCTAAATGTGTTAATTATGTTTTAATACTGTGTGCTGTATTTTAACAGTTTCCAGTGACAATGACCTGGACTGGAACTTTTGCGGCACATGGCACCATGGCAACAACCCCCTGAGCCTGAACCTCAACATCTCTACTGGCTGTAAAGGAATCTCCATTTCAGCCAATGAGAGCTTTCTGTCCATCAACGGGCAGATCACAGCCCAGTGTAGGAGATCTGAAGTGATTACCTTCAAGCACCTTGGATATGAATCAGGAGGGGACATCAAGTTCTG